CATGAAAATTTGCCAATATATGACTCTTACCAACACTAATCTACTCTCGAACATCGGCTTTTAGAAACGTTGTGTGTCAAAAGTTTTAGGCTTGGAATGTTGTCTTGGATATATTAAAATAATAAAATTCAGGGGTGACGGTAGTGGGACAGTTTGGTAATACGAAATTATATTGTGTAACCAACCAGTTGGACCCACACCCCTAGCTTATATTTAAGTCTGCATATAATAAAATAGTGATTTAAATAATAAAATATTAGGTTGATTGAATTAAATCTGATATTCGATCTTACCAGTTTTGACAATCCGGTTTAAGGAAATCAGAAATAATTTTAAATTGTTTGAACGTATTGTATAAAATTCATGAAAATAAAAACAATATTGTAAAATTATATTTTTTCATAAAAAATAATTAAAAATCCAATAAACGACTAAAATAAATGGCTTTTTCGTGACACGGTAAACTCCAAAGGTTCAACTTTTCTAAATTTACGTATTCTTCTTCAAATTGATTAGATAAATTAGACGTCCAATTTCCTAAATACTCACAAATTTGAGATACTGTTGGTCTTTTTAACGGATTAGCGTCTAGACATTGCAACATCAAACTAGCGTAAACAGGCGGAGTTCCATCGATATTGCTTGGTCTTAAACCTGAACAGATTTCTTGAATAAGTTGTTTATCATGAGGTCTATCACAATAAGGACGTACGCCAGTTGACAACATCCACATAATCATCCCAAAGCTATAAATATCAGAGGCTTTGGTTATCACATTTCCGTCAAAGATCTCTGGTGCAACAAAGGGTATTATGCCGTAAATTTGCTGAGATGGCATTATTGATGACATTGATTTATCAACATGTCCATGTAATCCAATATCTGCTATTTTTGTATCAATTGAATCCATCTCGTTTTCAACTAATATATTTCCTCCATGTAAATGTCCATGAACAAGATCATGTTCATGAATAAAATTAAGACCCACAGATATTGACCACAACATATCTATAATATCTCTCCAGTAAAGATTTCCTACAAATTCTTCAAGATAAGAATATAAATTTCCATTTTTATAATATCTCATAACAAACATGTAACATGATGTTGGATCTTTAGTTATTCCAAAACAATCCGCAAGTGCTTCACTTTGTAAGCATTTGTGATATCTATATAACTTTAGAATAAAAAGAAGAAATATTATAATACTATTATAATTGCAACAATCACTATGGATACATTCCCCACGAACTAAACATATTTACCTGGTCTATAAATTCTTGAGACATATTTTGTGAATTATCTAAACGTTTTAATATAACTTTAGTTGGGCCATTACGAGTCCATACTTCAGCTTCTTCATCCAGATTTTTCCTTGGACCTTCCATCCATACAGCGGAATATATTGAGCTAAAAGCACCTCGTTCATCAATATTTCTGACTAAATCAAATTGATCAAAATCAATCCACTCAAGATAATCCATACTTTCATTAGCATTTAACTGAGTATGTCTGATAAATTCGTCAATTTTAGTATTTCCACTATTCCAATTATGAAAATTTTCTTTTAAAAATGCAATATCGCAATTATTACACCATGATATAGCAGTTCGTTGTCGTTTGCAATCTGAGCATTTGCCATATGAGCTCTTTAAAGCCATACCTCGAGATATAGAAAGTTAAAAGCAATGAATACGTTTTTTGTTTAAAAATATTTTTATAAGATATGTAAGACCAAAAGTAAATTTATATATGCAATTTTTCTCTAGAAAATTCTAGTAGGTTAGTGTTTGTGCTATCATATGTAAACCGAAAATAGGTAATATTATGCGTACTAAATTTAATAATAATATTGACCTTTTTTAGCAGTAAATTCATTGGTTAATAATAATTTCGCTAATTGCCGACAATCTATTATCAATGAGAATAATCAACTAAGTGACTAAGTGCCGTATTTGTATATTAGGTGTAGTACATGAACTTTTATGTATCTAAAATTGGTAATGTCCTATTAATATTTTATATATATCAAGTAATTTATTCTGAGCTTTGATCTTCTATACCTCTGATACAATATTGTAATATTTCGTTCGATACTTAGCTAAAATAGTTGTGAAAAAAAAAATAATTAACCTAATTAACAAAAGCATTTACACGTAAAAAGTATACAATCAAGAATTCTATTACAGATTTCCATGTCCTACTGTATAAGTCATCTGCTGTTTAAGGATATTTGAAAAAAGTAAAATTCTCGGAGTTTGTGTATAATGCCGGCAATTCCGTTCGGTTATAAATCGGTAATATGATAATCGAAAATAACGCTGAAATAAAAAAAAAAGGTAATGCAATTTTCACACAGCCGAGTGATATATTGGGAAATTTTTATTTTTGCAGATTTTTTATGCTATGCTAAATATGGATTAAGAAGTCCGATTACGTAAGCGTACGTCATTAATCACATGATCTTAAAATTTTATTCGCTACAATATTTAAACCAATATTTTATCGAGCGTTGTTTATATTTCTATATAATATAATAACATGAAAAAATCTATTTTCTCGCTTTTTATTTAAAGAAATAGTAACTCATCATACTCCTAAATTTAATAATTATTGAAGATAAAATTTTAAGTTCACCATTTGCTTGAATTTTTGATCATATTGATCAGCGCTAAATAAATGTTGTTCAAATTATTTGAACGTACAGTATGTACAAATTATGAAGAAAATGATATTGCAATTTTATATTTTCTCAATATTTGATATTAATAGAATCAAATAGGCGGCTAAAATATATGGCTCCTTCATGACATGATGAAGACTTAAGACTTAGCTTTTCTAAATTTACGAATGGAATTTCAGCATCGTCAATTTGATTTGATAAATCAGAAACCAAATTTCTTAACGATTCATAAATTTGGAATGCTGTTGGTCTGTCTGATGGATCAGAATTTAAACATTCTAGCATTAATCTAGCGAAAACAGGTGGAGTCCTACTAATAACACTTGGTCTTAATCCCGAGCATATTTCTTGTATAAGTTGTGAATCGTGAGGTCTATCACAAAAAGGGCGTGCACCAGCTGATAACATCCACATGATCATACCAAAGCTGTATACATCAGATTCTTTGGTTGGTATATTTCCACCAAAGATCTCTGGAGCAACAAAAGGTATTACGCCGTAAATTTGTTTGGATGATATTTGTTTATCGACATGTCCATGTAATCCAGTATCAGCAATTTTAGCATCAATTGAATTCGCTTTGCTTTCAACTAATACATTTCCTCCATGTAAATGTCCATGAACAAGACCTAGTTTATGAATGGCATTAAGACTCGTAGATATTGACCACAACATATCTATAATATCTTTCCAGCAAAGAATTCCCATAGATTCTTCAAGGTACGAATATAAATTTCCATTTTCAAAATATTTCATAACAAACATATAACATGATGTTGGATCTTTGGTCATTCCAAAGTAATCTGCAAGTGCTTCATTTTGCAAACATTTGTGATATCTATATAACTTTTTTTAAAATTAAGAAAAAAAAAATCAGAAATATTGAAAGCCGAACATTGTTGACTTGCATATATGAATATACTTACTTGATTTACAAATTCTTGACTCATATATTGAGAATTATCTAAACGTTTTAGAATAACCTTGATGGGGCCACTACGAGTCCATACATCGGCTTGTTCATCCAGTTTCCATCTTGGGCCTTCTATCCATGTGGCAGAATATATAGAGCTGAAAGCACCTCGTTTATTAACATTTCTGACTAAGTCAAATTGATCATAATCAATCCACTCGTACTCTCATTAGCATTTAACTGAGTATGTCTGATAAATTCATCTATCGTAGAACTTTCACTGGTCCAGTAACGGAAATTTTCTTTCAAAAATGCAATGCCGCATTCTTTGCACCATGCTGTTGCACTTCGTTGTCTTTTACAATCAGAACAATTGCCAAATGTGCCTTCTAAATCCATATCTCGAAATAAAAGGAGGGCAAACTGAAAGGATGCGTGTTATAATTTTAATTTTTTTTTAAAAAAATAAATTTACAAATAAGAAGAAAGAATATTTTAAAGGTCAAAATAAGGCTTATTTAAATACTATCAGATACTATTTAAAAATATATAGATACGGAATAATTGCGAAATTTTCAAAGACAATCAAATAATGTATAATAAAACATTATATTAGACTTATTTAACTTAACGCATAAAATACCGCATAAATCTGGTGTTAACATCCGAAGTACTTTTCGATACATGGCTAAAATTAAGCCAACTCTACCATAATTAAGATATTATTATTACCCGGTACGCTTAAAAAGGAGATATTCTATGCAGTACTAGAGAATGCTGTATCACAAATTATTGTTACGAACATCCCTCGTGATTGTGTAATTGACAGTGTTCTTTGTACAAATATTAACTTAGAATTCCTAATGCATATACATAAATATTTTTTTTTTAATAAAATTATTATGACTTAACTAAATCTTAACTACGCGCAGTACATTTTAAACAATATCTGATATTGTACTGCATATATAAGTTACCAATAATTTTACATTGTTTTTTGGACCATAATACATCTAAATTTGGGATTATAGTTTTCCCTTTCTAATACAAATAATTTTATTTGTGGAAGAGTCATCAAAAAATTTTCTTAAGTACAATTGATCATCTGATTAAACTATTGTCTTCTTATTTTTTATTTTTTTTTAGTCTAAACATACATAAAGATTATTTTGGTATACAACAACCCTTTGCGTGTTCGTCATACTAAGATATCATGAGAACATGTGAATTATACAGTCCTATCTCGACGGATCTGTTATCGATGAGATATTGTCAATAACATCAACCATATCGTAATTATACAGAATTAATTCAGAATTTCAAACCTTTCGAGAAGTTTTGCCAAAGTTGAAGGCTGACAAGTGCCCTCATTTAAAGTTAATGCATATCATTCATGTGTAGCAGTTTGTGGACTATAGAAAATTTATGAAATACACGTATAATATCATATATTTTCTATGTATAACTTTATTGTATATAAAAAAAAGGACGTAATAATTTATTTTATTCCAAACAGATGGATACTGTTATGTTGTATTATAATATCGTCTCGAAAATTTTATGACATAATACTTTTCGTTCTGCAATTATTTGATCCACTTAACGTAAATTCGGTGCAAAGTCGTTATTATTACTATTATGTCATTATTTTCAAATTTTGTCTTCAGTTCGTTATTTCCGTCGTTGTATGTTCTGTGACATCTTAATTATTACAAATATATCAGTTATTATAAATACATTAAAACTACTATCCAAACTCCCGCTACGAAGCTATAAACCAAGAAAAAAAAACAAAAGCCCCTGAGAAAAGAAGTAATAGTAATATAAGATATAGGTAGTCACAAACATTATATTTTCGCTTATAAATTTTCCGAAAATATGGCCGAATCTGAAAGGTTTGAAATCCGAAGCGAAACTCTGGCCGAAATTTAAGAACATGGCCGAAATTATTTGGTATTTCTGGCCAAATTTGTGGTGCCGGTCATAATTATAAATCACGTGCCATCGGATAAAGTTTCGCCACAGGTGAGAGAAATTTCATGCCTGTGATGGATTTTTGTGTTACACAAATTCATGTTACACAGTTAATAATGCGGGCCAAAATGTATAGTGCCAGCCAGACAATTTCGGCTTGAATTTCGACTTTTCAGTTTCAGGAATGACTGGCAGAAAACGAAACCTGAAATTTCGGCAACATGATTCTATTCACATCCGAATTCTTCCCTAAAGAGTAGTTATAAATTTTTTATATGTATTCTAGTTACTTTTGGTAACAGCAGTTACGTAGTTCGCAATTTTTATGTATCGATTGCTTCAGCAACGTTTTTATTTCAAAAATAATAAATCATTGATTCCTCGTTAAAAGTCACGTGTAATGATGCAATATATGAACTACACTGTAATATATTAAAAAAAAATATTTTATTATTCCCTTGAATTATCATCTTGTTCATTGAGCCCTTTCAGATTTCAAGAGGCTAGTATTTTAAATTATGAATCTATTAACGACTACAACTACAGCTCATGATGCAAAAATTATGGCTGCAATCAAAATTTCGTAATTAGATCAGTGATAGTTAAATACTGATGAGAATATGGTCATTACTTTGATTCGTTGAGAATATTAAAAGACAAGTGCTTTTAGTTCAATTTATTCTTAATTTGATATGTATGGAAGATTCAAAATTGAATCTGGATGAAAAAGCCGAATTATGGAATCGTAACGTGCTATTGGTAAATCTGCGAAATTTATTTGTCAAAAGTCTTGATATAGCAAGATTAAATTATCCATTGTTTATTACTGTCGGATACAAAGGTTCACTACTTTCAACTTAACGATATTGCTTCTGAATAACTAATTTAGGCGAAAGCTTTTTTAATCAGTTTAATATAAACAGTAAATGAAGCTACAATAGCATCAACTGCTGATCAACATAAGCTTCGATTATGAATATATAGTCTTATATAAGTACAATTATTTAAACGCGCTTTAATTAGTTTCATATATAGCTCGAATATATTTACGAACTACACTACAATTTCATTCAGATTCCACCTTGGGCAGACATCTCGCTCATTATAGAGCTTGGATGGAAAGTTGACAGGTTAAAAAAGGATTATTTATCCAGTTAAAATGCAAACTATCGTGATCATTTATAACGAAACTGTCTATATATTTTACAATATACACAGCTCTTAAAAAATTAGATGTCACGATTATGGTTGATGATACTGACTGTAAATTGGTTCTTATTAATGCCGGCCAGAATTAAATCGTAATCGGCCTTATTGTGTCAACTGACAGCTGATGTGAGTCAGATGACGGCTGGCTTAGTAAATGCTGGCCAAAATACTTGAGGCATTAGTATAATATTGGGCAATATCAGATATTGAGAAATGAAAAAAAAAATGAATACATACACAATATTGGTTTCATAAATCATATAAATCATACTATACATATCAATTTACTTCATACACCACAACTCATACAGGACTCCTTTCTGACATATCCTTTCCATTGATAACATCAAAAGATGACCTTTAAGATCAATACGTTCCGCCACTTGGTCCCAATGTTGTTTTACTTCGGAAGTTTCTTGCTTGAGCAACCATTATTGCAACATCCCTCATATTAGCAGGATTATTTGAATCAGATCTAATTCAATTCTATCTTGTACGTAGTGTTTACGGTAAAGAATGAAACGATTTGGCGACCGTGGTGGTGGTTTAACGAATTCATTTATTTTTCAGTACGTTTATTTCTTCTTCTCTCATTTTTTTCCAGTTTTGGTTTGGTTTTGTCTTGATACTTTTGGCGTTTTGTTGGTGACTCTACCATCTTAAAGGTAAAAAAATGATAATAAAGATTTAGTTAATTTTTCGTTATAAATATGTACAATATATAACAATGGTATTTTTATAAAACTATAAAATATTTCTTCAAATGGAAGATGAATCCCAGAGAAATTAGTTCGATATTGCAGTTTTTTATATTGTGATGTTAAGTTTTAACGCGAATAAACAAATAAAATACAAGCTAAAAAGATAACAAAGAAATAAAAGAAAATTAAAAAACACGGTAAAATTAATATTTTATTTCTTCTTTATTTAGAAAGGATCATTTACCAGAACATATCGTATATATCAATATACTTACATTGTTATTTTCACTAGCAATAAATTATTTATTTGTCGGTGTATAACGTAAAAAAATTTCACATTATTTAATAGATTCTATACGGAATTATAAAATCGCTAAAATGTGAGAAAGAATACAAGTTTGATTTTTTGTTTCAATTTTATACATCCTGATTACATCATCTTGGCTATTATTAATACTATAATTTTGATTGATATTAATTTTTCTATCAGTAATATGTTGTGGAGTATTATATGTTATTGTATATAATTTTATCAAGAGAGACACGGTGTTTTAGTATATGCAAGTTGAAGAATTTTTTGATAAGCAGCCTAGTTAAATAAAAAAATATACCTGTTACAATAAATCAATCAATCAAAAATACTAAGAATCATAAATTCCGGACGCCAAAAAAAACTAGTTAGCTAAGTATTTATAGGGGTCGTATGAGCTGTACGCGGAGACTTTTTTACATGAGTATGTAGTACAAAAATACGCAAATAAAATTTCAGACATCATGGCTTCTATAACTTCCATAATTATCGTATAACTTTTATTTTAAATTTACAATATAAAGCAATTAGTATTGATATAATATTATTATATTTATTTTTAAAGCTTGAATATCCGAGGGCAATTAACAAGTATTTTTTTGTTTAATTTATAGCAAAAAAATTTTTAAAATTATCTGAAATGTAAAAAAGTGGATTTTCAACTTTTTTAACCAGAACAGATAGAGAAAAATAAATCCCAAAATCTGATTTTTTCGAATCATAAATAGCTTAGATTTCAAGAATTGAAATAATTGAATTACTAGTTTTATTAAGAAATCAGCTTTTAAAAATCGCAAAAAAAATTGATCAACAAAAATTTTTGCAATTTTTTAAAAGCTGATTTCTAAATTTTCATTCTGAAGAAACTCAGACACGTGATTATTTTTCTGAAAAATTTTTATATGGACAATAAATAAACGTGTGATTTATTAAGTTTTTTTTATTACTATACTGAATAATGATTTTCTATTCTTGTAATTTATAACATTAATACAATAAATAACATTTCTGATAAGAACATTGTATTTGTTTTGGCCCAGAAAAAAATAATACTTTGATGCAATCAACTTAATGATTCAAAATTGAATAATTATTTTAAAATGTCAAAATTAATTTGATAAATAAATACATAACAGATAAATAATTAAATACAGTATATAGTATACATATTTATTAAGAATTGTTAATGTAAAAAGGACGGAATTTAAATATAAAATAAATTATTCACCAATTTTAATTGGGAAATATTGATTCGTAAAGATTCTTGTTAAGTGATATTTGATGTAATATGTGGTAATTAATTGTCACATTGAGATGCACATCCTTTTTGACATTGTTCTTTAGTTTCATGAAGTTCGCATGAACAGAGGCAAGACTCGCATGGATCTTTTATGCTCAAACATCTAATCTGAGGATAGACTTCCACAATTAAACATGTTAAGCAAAAAAAGTAAATGAAAATTTTGAGTGGAGAAATAGAGACCATTTTTATGATGAATATGGATTTGATATTTTTTATTAGGTCAAAATTCGGTGATATTTATAAGAAAATGAATTATTATAAATTTACTGACATACTAATTTTTTCCCACATATTTAATATTCGCCAATGATATTGTGCATATCTTAATATATTTTGGTACGGGTCCATAAGATCGACGATTTTCAATATATTTAAGGTCATTCCGAACTAAATATTAGTTTAACGCCCTTAAATTTGAGGAGGAGGAGGGAATAATTTAACATATTAAAAATTCGGAAATATTCGGTAAAATCGGAAACATTCGGTACCACTCAATTTTTAGAAAAGAGAAGGGGCATATCAGCATATGTGAACATATTACCTTTGGAATTTTTAAAAATAAAGGGGGGGAGGGGGAGAACTTAAACTAAAAATTATTTTGGAGCGGACTAAATCTACATTCGCCAATGATATTGTGATTTTTCCCACAATTTCGTATGGGCTGATTTTTGGAATTCTAATCAACCTTCTTGTCTCTTTTTCAATTTTTTACATTTTCCTAAAAAGAGGAACATTTGATTATTTCATCTTGAATATATAATTTCAACATTTACTGTACATATCATTTGTGTTACCTGGTTCTCCATCCTTGGGGATCAGGAACACCCTTTGGATCAGGAACACATATCTTAATATATTTGATCCACATTCGCATATTTACGGCAAAAATAACGGTCCATAGGATCAACGATATTCATTAATAATTTAATATATTTAATCTACAGTACATTCGCTATAAAATTTACCATTTTTTTCAATAATAATATTAAATATTACAATGCGGTTAACTAAATAAGTATGATATATATAAGTACCGTATATGTAATATTAACCAAATTTAGGTCAAAAATACGCAAACTAATTTTTTACATATAAAAAATTTTGATAAAAAATACGATCTAACTATGGACGAAAATTCTTAAATTGTACGCAAATCAAAACTTTACTCCATTTAACTCCATTATAATGGCGATGCATCTGTGTACCCTACCCTTGTTCTTTCCTTTTTCTTGTGTTCACATCATGGTAAGAAATTCTCTCCGCAAAGTTCTTCCTAGTTAACTAGTAGCGGATCATAATACACACTTTGATATTATGGAGTGTACGTACATCTATAATAGAGTATTATAAATAAATAAATTTAGTTTTATTAAACTCGAAAATCGATAGAACAAAGATTAAATATAAATATTTCTATTTGTTTTGTTAATAAAGAGGTAATTTGGTATCAAGATTCATTTTTTATAATAAAGGAAACGATTGAAATAGGAAAGGTTTTAATAAATATTTTTTTCGTTTTATTAGGAAATTATTGGTTTTTTAATGATACAGTCATGAATAATTTTTCCATAGAATAGAATTTTTCTTGCAATAGGTGTGCACGTGGTGCGGATTTTCAATGTCACATTCCATAGTGTGATCGAATGATAAAGAGTAATTGAAATAACGTAGAGAATTCCGTTTTAAGAAGTTTATATTTTAATAGAAGTAAAGTGGTTTTCTATTGAACAATAAGATTTTTTTTTAAAAAAAAATTCTTAAATAAAAAATAATGGATTTTTCGAATTTAAGAATAATGTGTTCCGAATTAGTGATTCTTAATATTATTGAATATAACTTTGATAATATTGATAATAGTAATATTTTTATTAATAAGAATAATCGAAAAAAGACATAATTTAAATAAACAATATAAATTAAAAAAATTTTTTTTTATTATATAATGCATTTATAATTTATATGGTTTATCTTTATTTTTATTTTTAATTTCCAGGTAAACAAAGTCACGATACAAATTACAGGGACAAACTATTCGTAAGCCTAAAGTAATTCTAAACTAAATCGTGTACGAACCGCCAAATCTGACAGCGCCACCCTGGTGTCGAAAAATAAACCTGTGGCTGAACACGTCCCGCCCACTACGCACGAGAGTAAAAGGCTAAGGAAAGAAAAAACAAAAAAAAGAAGAGCGAACAGAAGCTATAATAAAAAGGCAGTTCTAACATATTCGATCTCACGTATTGTTCTTTTGTCCGAGAACGCCACACGTAAATACTGTCAGGTGTGGAATTATGCATATTGTATAGGTCCGGAATTGTTTCTGTCATATATCTATTCGTGGGCCGGAGTGGGTGGGTAGACGACAGTATCTACCGGTTCCTCGGCTGACACGTATGAGCGATCACTAATGGTGGTGGTTGATTCACAATCTGGTGGAGGTGTACATCGTAAAA